TTTACTTTTAGCATTTATTTATTCTTTTTTATGTGTATAAGTGTATTGCCTGAATGTGTGTAAGTGTACCTGTGTCGTGCAGTGCCTGTGGAAGTTAGAAGAGGACTTTGGGTCCCCTAGAACTGGAGTTATGAATGGTTGTTAGCTGCCATGTAGGTGATGGGATTTGAACCCAGATCCTCTGCAAGAGCAGTCAGTGCTTTTAACCTCTGAGCCATCTCTCCAGCCTTAAGGCAGTATTTTGAAAAGGAATGCAGATAAATCAAAACTTCAAACTCTATGGACCAGTGGAACATGCCAACAAGCCTGAAGACCTGAGCTGGATCCCCAAGACTCACATGGTAGAACTCCTAGAAGTTGTCCTCTGACCTCTACCCACACACAAAATTTTAAAAAAATGTTAAGACAATATGAGTGGCCAGTTCACACATAGGAACAATGACTCTGCATGTAAAAGCATATCTGAGTCAAAGTAAATATCAGCTAAGTGATACTCTCAGGTCATCAGGTACTTTACCTTTTCTACTAGCGAATTGCTACTAATTTTATTCTAAATGGAAATAAGAAGATATTCTACTTATTCTGCCCTGTTTTCCTATCCTGGTATATAGGACATATAGAAAAAGAGGAGCAGTGAGACTGGATTCGCCCCCTCTATGACAGGTATGCCCTCATCCAACAGTAAACAAACATGGGGATCTGTTCCTGGTGTTAAGGGTGTTGCTGAGTGGAACACACTTGACTCCCTGCTCTCACACTGCATTTCTTCTTGGTACTGTTTATATACGGGGAGCTTTGTCTAGGGCAATGGTGTAATAGTATAATATGAGAGGAACTGTGGATTCATCTGACAGAATACCTCATATGTTCCAGGCATTTCCCTTGGTACTGATGTAACAGCAGTGAAGAAAACAAATTAGGGCTGAGACATTGCTCAGTGGTAGAGCTCTTACTGAGCATGCAGTCTCTAGCACCACACAAACAACCTTCTGTCCCTTTGGAGCTGTCTGAGGTGGGACAAGGATAGTCAAATAGATAAACAAGTATAAGGTAAGTGGTAAATACACTAAAGAAAAATAAAGCAGGGTGATGTGCTTGGCAGTTGAGGGAAAGGGTTCTATTTTATGTGGATTAGCCAAGGCTTCTCATGTGGTATGGCACTTATCAGAGAGGCAGGATGGAGTGAAGGGACTAGTTAGCCATGGAAGACCATTTGCCAGAATTATTGCAGGTAGAGGGAAAATTGCCAGCACCAATGTACTGAGCAAGGCAGGAATGGGCTTGGTGTATTGGAAAGGAAGAATGTTAGAAATGAGTGAAAAAGAACACGGGGGAGTCAGATCAGATGTGGTGGTACAGTCTGTGGTAAAGCCATTGCACATTATTTGGAAATAGGAAGTTCTAGGAGGGTTTTAAGCAGACAAGAGACACCACCAAATTTCTTTTCATAGGCACCATTATAGTTGCTATTGAGGCAATACACACTGGTAACACAAGGGCATTGCACTGAGCTATAATGTTGGCCTGGCCTGCAGCATCGGCAAAGCAGAGGTGAGAAATGGTCAGGGTTTGGATATATTTTAAATGCCTATGCTGAGTGAAAGAAGCTGGTCCCATACAAATATGTGAAGTATAAGTCTATCGAATTCTAGAAAATGCAAACCAATCTATATTGACACAAGGATGTTTGGAGACAGCCAGGAGAGGAGGGAGAGAGATTCCAGAGAAACACACAGACACTTCTGGGGAGAAGGAATGTGTCAAGTATCTCTCTAGAAATGACGGTCTCCAGGGTATATTCATGTCAAAACATCAAATTGTACAGTTTTAACTTGCACAATTTACCACAAGCCAATTATAGCTCAATAAGGCTATCAGAATAAAGACTCGTGGTGGCCTGCTGGCTTGAATTGGGGTATGAGAGTAGAGATCGGGAATGGTTTCTAGAAGTGGGGCCTGAGCACTTGGACAAGAGGAACTAAATTGTCATTCTATTCCCTCTCTGATATGAGGAAGAAAGACAGGACCAAGGTTTAAGAGAAAAAAAGAGCTTTGTTTCAATATACTATGTTAGTGGTGCCTATTCAGAGCATCCAGAGTCTATAACAGATATATGGTAGAAAAGAAATGGAGAATGAATAGTAGTTCTCAGATGGAGTCCATTCCAATCTAACCCACACTGTATTCACTCCAGACATCTCTAGAACTATGGTGCTCCAATGGGCCCTCTCCTAGTCCTATAGACAAATGTCTGCATCTTTTTTTTCACACCTTTTCCTTCCTTCCTTTCTTTCTCTCTCTTTCTTTCTCTTTCCTTCTTCCTTCCTTTCTTTCTTTCCTTTCTTTCTCTCTCTTTCATTCATTCTTTCTTTCTATTATTTTTATTTTATGTGTATGAGTGCTATGCCTGCATGTAAATAAGTGCACCTGTGTCGTGCAATGCCCACGGAGGACAGAAGAGGCTGTTGGATCCCCTGGAACTGGAGTTACGGACAGTTGTTAGCTGTTATGCGGGTGCTGGGGTTCGAACCTGGGTCTTCTGCAAGAACAGTCAGTGTTCTTAACCGCTGAGCCATCTCTCCAGCCCCCACACCTTTTTCTTTATTCAACATCATTGACTGCATGATGGACTACATTCATTTCTTTTGTTTTTAAATAATCCAATTATGAGGCTAGAGAGATGGCTCAGCAGTTAAGAGCACTGGCTGCTCTTGTAGAAGACCTGATTTGGTTCCCAGTACCCACATGGTAGCTAACAGCCATTTGTAACTCCAGTTCCAGGGGAATCTGATGCCCTCTTTGACCTCCTCAGGCACTGCATGACATGGGTGCACTTACATACATGCAGGCAAAATACTCATACACATAAAATAAAAAATACATTTAAAATGTAAAAAAGGGGGGGGTAGAGAGATAGCTCAGTGGTTAAGAGCACTGACTGCTCTTGCAGAGGACCTGGGTTTGATTCCCAGCACCCACGTGGTGGCCACGAACCGTCCTTAACTCCAGTTCCAGGGGAATCCGAAGCCCTCTTCTGACCTCCGTGGCATTGCACAACACGGGTGCACTCACTTACATGCAGGCAATATACTCATACACATAAAATAAAAATAATAAATAAAATATTTTAAATGTGGAAAAAGAATCTGACTGATGGATGGGTTTCTTGTTTATGGTTGATGAGTTGCCTTAGCAGAGACCACAGCGAAACCTCAGCTGGTCACAAACAAATGCATACTGCCCCAATCAGGACTGGCTTGGCATAGCCACACTGCCCTGGCAGGAGCTTCTTATGCCTTAAAAACAAATGCACACATGGATAATTCCATCATGCTGTGACTGAAATAAAATTTTGTTCCCTTAGCATAACGTTCCTTTTCCCAGACGGATGTGAGCAAACATCTCTTTACCCCAGATTGGCCACCAACAACAGACTCATAGAAATGAATCCATCCAAGTCCAACTTGGTGAACCAATGAGTGTATTCGAGTTAGTTACAGGATCACAAGTGACTCAAAACCAGCCAGGTCACTGAAGAGTCCACTCCTCTTGGCTGATGGTCTCACAGATGCTGCATCATGGTGTCCCCCCCTTTAGGTAACCTTCCACCTCCTTTATCCTCTAGCATGTTTTGAGACCATGTGCCTCTGAGGGGAGGGCAGAGGAGGAAGGAAGTGGCTAGAATCTCCAGTGAGGGTCTAGCGACCTTCCTAGGCTCTCTCCTTCTATGAGGAACTGATAATAGGCCCAGCGTTGCAACTGGTTTCATATGGCAATGGTCATGTCACACCCCGAGGGCAGTTCCATAAAGCTGGTCAGCAAGAAAGTACTAAAATTGTTTGTGTTTGATGGAGGATTTACAGAGTTGTGACTAAAAGGGAACGTTCTTGCTTTTGAATCTTAGCTCCGTCATTACTGGGTGTGTGGCTGCTCCATTTGCTCAACTCTGAAATGAGATTATTGATAGGGCCTACTATTATTGTCAAGTACTGTTGTGAAGCTATACATGTAAAATCTTAAGACCTCAAAATAACAACTGGGCATAAAGAAAGCACTCAGTAAATGTTAACTATTATGGACTACCATGCCTTTCCTGACATTTATTCTCTGAGACAGGATCTCACTCTGTAGCCTAGGCTGGCCTCAAACTCTAAGATCCTCCTGCCTCCTGTATTGGGGATTACAGGCTTGAGCCACCACACCTGGCTGGCCCTCTTTAATCATTTCCTTATCAGTTGGGCTTCCTTGGGTGTGTGGCCTCGTTTAGACCAGGAAGGGGTACGGCCCTCTCCCACACTATGCTAGGACTCTGCCGGGGTCTGGCGTGGATGGGAGCACACAGTAGAAGTTGAACACACTGGTATTGAATTAAATGACTTCCTTTATGGACAGAGACAGGAATCTCAAGATCTCAGGCTGAGGACCACGGCCCACCAACCCCCACTTTAAAGCAGGTCATCACTCGGCTTATTTAGAACCTCTTCCAGGAAACCATTCAACTCAAAGGGGATCTTGTGATGGGGCGGGGGTGGGGAGGAGCGGGGGAGACCCCAGGGAGCCTGAAGCTAGGAGTGTAGTCCTGGATCAGAGACGTATTATGGCCGGTCTTGGTGGAACTTGGCGGTTCAGAGTCAAGTTGGACGACTTGGGATGGCTGCTTAGCATGGAGCAGAAATGCGAAGCTGCGGGAAGGAGCCAGGAGACCAGTTGGAATGGAGCAGAGACAGGGATTGATGAACCGGGTGATGCAGAGAGTCGCTTGTGAGCCCACAGAGCCGAGGCCGGGGATTGGGCGAGGAGAAGGCAGGGAGTCGTGGCTGTCAAGGCAGCCGGGCAGGAGGCAGGACCGGGCGGCCAGGCGAAGGGGCAGCGCATCCCCAGCTGAGCCCCTGCTGACGTGTCGCTCTGAGCCGCTAGGCCGCCCCCGGCACCGCCCCTCGGCCGCCCGCTCCGCCCCCGGCGGCCGCGCCACCGCCCGGCCTCCTCCGCGTCATCCGCGCCGGCGGAGGCCTCAACATGGCTGCGGCGCCGGGGCTGCTCTTCTGGCTGCTGGTGCTCGGGTCGCCCTGGCGAGTCCGGGGCCAGTCGGACCCCGGCCCGGGCCGGCGCTTCTCGGAGCTCAAAGTCTGCGCAGACCAGGACTGCAGCAGTGAGTGCGCGGGTGGTCGGGGTGGTGGGGACTGCGCGGGGCCGGGGTCCCGCAGCCAGGACGCCGGCTTCGTGGGGGTCGCAGGCCCGGGGCCCTCCGAGAGCCCGTGTCTGCCCCCTCCGGCTCTGCGATCGCCCCAGTTGGCCCTGCCCGTGGGGGGCCGCGCCTCCCACTTGTTGCCCGGGTTTGCTCTCTCTTGCTCGGATGGAGGCTGGGGGCGTCGCCGACCCTGCCGGGTGTCCGCTGGGACAGCGCTTCGCGGCCCGGATCTCCGCCTGGGCTCCGACGGTGATGGGGTGGCGCACCCCCGCGTCCTGAGCGCCCCACGCTGCAACCCCACGCGTCCTGCGCCAACCGCGGGGACCTGGGTCCAAGCAAACCCCAGACCCACGCGCTAAGTGATGGGGGGCGCAATCCCGGGGTGAGGTTGACGGCGGGGTTCCTCCGGAAGGGCACCCCGCGCCGCCCCTTCACCTCCTCTCCTGGGACGCGGCTCACACCACCTTTGGAACCCGAGGAACTGGAGTTTAGGTTTGGGCATGAGCCCCAGGTGTGTTCCGAGGTCTTCCCGGGTGCTCGGCCTTGGTCCTGTGGTTTCTTTGCATAGCCTCCTGCAACCTGCCAGGTAGGGCCACAGGAAGGTTAACATCTTTCGCTCTTAAAGAAGCCTAGGAGCTGCACCAGCCACCTGGGAACCGCAGCCTTCTCTTCTGTGCGCAGGAAGCCCGGTTTGTGTCCTGGTCCTGGGGTGGGAGGTGGGCGGTGGGGAGGACATGAATCTTCAGCTTAGGTGGGGAAGGTTAGCACGGTAATAGTAATAATAAATATGCCTAGGGTCTCAGAAACCAGGCTAGCCTTTGCCTTAGTCGTTTATGTTATTGGGACCTTTTAAATTTGAATGGGCTGTACCTCTGCAATGTCATTAAAGAAAAAGAAAGGAGGTATCTAGAGTTTATGTGCGGCCATTCCTACAGGTCCTCCTGGGCGGATGTAAATATACACCACAAAGGCCGGGCAATTGCTATGAATTTTCCTTTCATTTTCCCCTCAATAAACTAGGGTAATGCCATATGGCCAGTGAATATTGCAAAATGTTTGCTATTCTTTGCTGCCAAGCACTAGCCTATCTGGGTTCCTCAAAACCTGGGAGAACCACATCTTTGATGCTTCCTCAGAGCTGAGCCACGTGTGATTCGGGGTTGTAATTTAACTTGACAAATGGCCTGTGTCCAAACAAATGTAACCAAACAGGACAAGCAACTGAAGAAGCAGGGTCCCAGTCTGTGCTGTCTTGTAGGAAATGTTCAGAGATGGGAAGGTGTCAGGTGTCCTACAAGGTGTTCCACAGTGTGCACACCATCATAAATGATAAACAGTACATACAGGCACAGACTGTTATTGATGTATCACTATAAACCCTCAAGGGTCAAAGGGGGGACAAGCTGAACAGTGCCAATTGCAGTTCCAGTGGAATCCACAGCCTTAAGTCCCTTCGGCCTGCCCTCTTCCTCAGTCACATCTGAATTAGCATGCAGACATATCAGAAAATAATTTAGCTTCAAAACCCTATTACCCCCCCCAAATAAATATGTGTGCTTGTTTCTCAAATATGTAATCTAAAGACATACATGCTTTTATATTATTCCCAATTGGCTTTTCGACAAAGTGCAATTTCTGTCTCTTCCATGTCTCTACTCTTTTTTTTTTTTAATCTTTTTGAGACAGGGTCTCCCTGTAGCCCCAGTTGGCCTAGAACTTGCTGTGTAGACCAGGCTGGCCTTGAACTCACAGAGATCTGCCTGCCTCTGCCTCCCAAGTGCTGGGATTAAAGGCTTGCGCCACCACGCCCAGCTTCCATGTCTCTCTACTCTTTAAATGCACTGTCCATTTCACGAGTCTGTATTTGGTAAAAAAAAAACACCTGCTTCTATGAGTTTCTGGATCATGTGTGATGTCTCCTGACCTAGTCTCATAGTTTTGCTTGGTCCCAGGCAAATGGGATGTCCATCTTGGATTTTGTTTATAGAAAAATATAAATCCTTTTGTTTTAAAACTCTCTCTCTCTCTCTCTCTCTCTCTCTCTCTCTCTCTCTATGTGTGCGCGCACTCACACAGTACTGTGTATACGAAGGGTCTTGTGTATACGAAGCAAGCAGTCTAGCATTAAGCTAGATCCCCAACCCTCTTTATACTTTCAATTTTGAGTCAAGGTCTTGTTATTGAACTCCTTCTGTTCTCCAGTCAGGTCTTGAACTTGTGGTCCTCCAGCCTCAGCCTCCTGAATGAATGCTGGGTTTACAGGGCTACACCACCAGGCCAGGTTAGAAACCTTCTTAAAGCTGGGTACATCAACATTATTTGCTTTGAAATAATCACTGCCCTGTGATTGATTGGATTCCTAATTGGGTGTGATAATATGCCTTCCTGTTAATTTATCTAGACACTGCGCAGAGACAGCAATTTAGCCGCAGATGAAATTGACAGTGTTTACTGCTGCATGGAGCAGTTGCAGCCATTTGCAGGCAGTGCCTTTTAGTGGTTAGTTCAAGTTAATTGACCCCTTGAGGGTTCCTGGGTCCCCCAGGAACTTCTTCCTAGTTCCCTGTTATCTCTACAGGTAGCCATGTTCAAGCCAGTTAGCACCTGTACATACCTGCATTTACACGGCTACAAAGTGAAGTGTGGAAATGAAACACACTTTCTTGATTATGAAACAAAAAATGGGGGACTAGGAGATGAGAGAAGAAACCAAGGCCTGATCTGAGAACAGCCGTTTCTGGTGGCTGACACCATGGATTTTTGTTTTTCAGCCTTAGCCAGAAAGACAAGTAGAAACTTTTCCTTTCCCTCCTCTAATTACAGGGGATGATATGACTTAGAGCAGTAAGGCTCTAGAGATTTTAGACACTTGGAGCACATGAATTGAAGTCACTTCCAGAAGAGTACTAGAAAGGTTGGATTGTTGTTTACAGTAGTATTTCTTATATTTCCTGAAAAACCTATAAGAGTTGGTAGAGTGTTTGCCTAACATTCACAAAGTCTTGGGTTTGGTCTCTAGCATGTGCCTGTAATGCCAGTGCTTGAGAGGTGAAAAGCAGGAGGATCAGGAGTTCAGGGCCATTCTTGGCTACATAGCAAGTTTCAGGCCAGCTTGGGGTACATGAGTCCCTGTTTTAAAAAGAAAAAGTGTGGGGGAGGCTGCAGAGTCAAATTCTAATATTGTTTTGTTTTGTTCCTTTCTGTCTCTGTGTACAGTGTTGATGTACCGGGGTGAGGCTCTTGGAGACTTCATGGGTCCTGACTGTCGTTTTGTGAATTTTAAAAAAGGTGACCCTGTATATGTCTACTACAAACTGGCAGGGGGATCCCCTGAAGTTTGGGCTGGAAGTGTAAGTAAAAAATTGATAATATTTATTTTCTTACTTTTATTATTAGCATTGCAGATTTAAATGACTTTTCTTAGGGTCTTTGATGGAGTCTCTGCTAGACTGAAAACAGAAGATGGTCCTATGATTCTAGCAGGCCTCAGGCTTGGTACAGACTAGGGATGTGATAGAAATTTCAGAAACAGAACTGAACTGGTTCTGGCTACTGCCCCACAGCAGTACAGGAAGTTCTACATATAATAAAAGTTGAAATGGTGAAACCTGAGAACCTTCATTGCTTTAAAACCCAAGTATTCATGGTCATTAATCTTAATCTCGTAAGCTGTCTACAAGACAGTGTTTCAGGCATTTGATGTTCAGTTTGGCTTTATTTGACATTATTCTCTGTTATTAATGTTTGTGAAAAAAATCTGTCAAAAAGCTAAAGTAGGGCTAGGGTTGTTGCTTAGTCAGGACCTGAATTCAAGCCCCAGGACCCACATAAAAACAAAACCAAACCAGGTACTGTGGTGTGCGCCTGTAGTCCCAGAGTTGGAGAGGTACTACACAGGCAAATCCCCAAGGGCTCATTGACCATCTAGCCCAGCCTACTTGGTGAGTCAAAAACAAGAAGGTGGGCAGGAATGACAGCAGGGTTCTCCTCTGGCCTTCACATATATGTGTGTGTGTGTGTGCGCGCACACACACACATATCTACAAATACACATATGCATCTACACACACACCTGCACACATCTGCACATACACATATACACATAGGCTCTCACTCACAAAAGGCAGAATACTGTGTTCACTGTGTGCTTTCTTGTTTGTTTTGGCTTGTGATTTCTGGGTCATCTTTTTCCTGCTTTTCTTTGTGTCTGGAAGTTCCCCCCATGGAGTGTGTTCCCAGCCACTCTTCTGGGCATCTTGAGATCAGACATGGCAGTCAATAACTGCATCATACTCTGATATTTTTTAGGGAGGAGATTCTCCAGTAGTGACCTGACTGGGAAGTATATGATATTATCCTTTCCCTTTGAAAAGGTCTGATACATGGAAGGTTGTTGACTTGAAGGGTCTAAGATGACTGTAGTATTATTATTCCAATTTAGAAACATCCCCAACCCCAATTCTGCAAAGCTCTTACCCTCAATAAAGCACCAAATAAACAAGGTAAAATGAGGCTCTAGAAACCCCCTTGGGAAAACTATGTTTATTTTGTTGGCACTTCAGTTTCCTTGAGAAGATTGTTAGAGCATCAAGTGATCATGTATAGCCCTTTTATTTAAACAGTATCACAGTAGTTCCATAGAGAGAAGAATCTATTGTTTCTTTGATGTCTCCCAAAGTGGGATGTCCTGGCAGTCTTTACTCTTGGAACTGTTTCCTCTGGCCACATTTTTGGCTCATCCCCTTTTCCACCTCTAGAAATCTTGTTCTTCCTGGGTCTGAGTCATAGCTCTTAGTGAGCCTTTTTTAAAAAAAGATTTATTTGGGGCTGGAGAGATGGCTTAGCAGTTAAGAACACTGGTTGTTCTTGCAGAAGACCCAGGTTCAAATCCCAGCACCCACATGGCAGCTAACAATTGTCCATAACTCCCAGGGGATCTGACAGCGTCTTCTGACCTCCACTGGCATTGCATGACACGGGTGCTCTTACCTACATGCAGGCAATACACGCGTACACATAAAATAAAAAATAAAAGATTTATTTTCATTGTTATTTTTTTGTGTGTGTTTTACCTGCATGTATGTATGTGCACCATGTGTGTGCAGTATCCATGGAGGCCAGAAGAGTGTTGGATCCTCTGGAACTGGAGTTAGGAACCATTGTGAGTTGCCTTGTGGGTGCTGGGAACTGAACCCAGGTTCTTTGCAAGAGCAGTCAGTGCTCTTAACCAACTGTGCTGCCTCTCCAGACTCCCTGCCCGCCATCTTTTTTTTTTAAACAGGGTTTCAGGTATCCATGGTGACCTTGACACAGTCTACCAGTGAGCTATATCTCCCCAGCCCTCACCCTGCCGTTGTGAGGAACACTGCCTCCAACACCCAGACATAAGGGATCTTTGCTGACAGATATGTTTGGTGGCACTTTGTTTGTGCAGCTCCTTCTGGTAGTCATTTTGTTACTTTGCCTTTCAGCTAGCTGCTATACCATCTTAGTTCACCGTCAAGTCCAAAGCTCTGAAAGGAAAAGCTCTGCCTTGTCTGGCTTCCTTTTGAATATTTCCTTACAGGGCAGTAGCACTTGATTCCCTTTGTTCCCATAGTAGCTTATGCAGAGTTTGTCTTCTTGAGGCATACTCTACCCTCCCCATCCCCAAATCAAATCAACAGTGCCTTGGCAGAGATGATACACAGAAGCAAAATTAGACATAAAAATTACTTCCATGAGGGCTCCTAATTCTGTGAGGTTCTAAGAAGCAGGTACTATCCAGAGTACAATTACAGAGCTTTATTTAAGCTATGGTCTCTGTTGACACAGATTAACAAAGAACTTCCCTTTCTCCACTTGCCTTTAGATTCTTTCACTTTTTTTTTTAAATTTTATATTTTTATTTTATGTGTAGTCGTGTATTGCCTGTATGTAGGTGAGTACACCCGTGTCCTGCAATGCCCATGGAGGTCAGAAGAGGCCATCAGATCCCCTGGGACTAGAGTTACGGACAGTTGTTAGCTGCCATGTGGGTGCTTGCTGGGATTTGAACCTGGGTCTTCTGCATGAACAACCAGTGTTTTTAACCACTGAGCCATCTCTCCAGCCCCTCTTTCACTTTTCTATATCCAACCTTAATGAGTTTTCCTCAGAAGGGAAAAATGAATTTCCTCTCAGTATCCCCTCCCATTTCATGAACCCTGTATTTGGGGGGATTAAAATTTCTCCTTAGTTTTTAGAATGAGTTGTGTTTGTATTTTAATTCTCATCCTGCAATCTTTTTTGGTTTCTTAGAGCTTCAGACTTTATCTGCCAATCCTGGAGCTTTTAATTGCCTGTCTTATCTAATCTTCAGGGCAGTATTCCACTAACGCTGGCCTCCAGATGGTTTCCAGATAGATCACATATACTGGTGAATGAGGATATTTTAGAATTAGCTATAAGGTGGCCTTTTTTCTTCTTGTGCCCTTGACCTTCCTATCAGTCTATTTCTTTAATGCCTGGGAACAGGTCACTGCTTCCTTTCAGACACTGACTGTGGAAAGATGCTTATAAGAAGAGCTTATGTACACTGTATGTACACGTTGCATAGCTTAGTTATGTGTGCTGGAGATGAATAGGGTTATTTTTTTGTAGAGGATTTATTTTGCATAGAACTGCAGCTTAACATGTAGGTAAGTATGCATTCCATTACAACTTTATTTTCTCCCCAAATAATTGTAAATGCAGTTTTTGAAAAAGCTAATGTAACATATAGTATGAAGAGATACTTGCTGTTTGTTGTAGTGGTTGTACATTTTAGAAACTTTGTATTGCTTTTTCTTATTTTATGGCTGTTGTATGTTGATTTAAGGAAGACTTGTAAGCAGTGGTTTATAAACAGTGCTATCAAATGTGCAGGTAAATTCTTGTTAGAGATGATTTGGAATTGTGTTTCTAACCAGTTTTGATTTGCAAAGTCTTAATCATACAATTTGCAATAATCCTCTCTTACACAGATCTTAAATGACTTCTAAATCTAACTTTATGTGCTATTTAAAAGAAATGTCAGTGGTTTGGGGAACCATTGGTCTAACAACATTATGCACTTAATTTTCATTGTAATAATTATCTCAGTGTGATTATTAATGGCAACTATCTGTGTCTGTTTGTTATGTCTACCTATTTATCCATCTGAATCATTCCTGTTGCTGCAAAGGCCTCTCTTTTATATTCCTCCTATGGAACTTGATTGATGTTTGTCCCTTTTGTCCATAGGTTGGACATATCTTTGGATATTTTCCAAAAGATTTAATCAAGGTACTTCATAAATACACTAAAGAAGAACTACAAGTTCCAACAGATGTAAGTTGGTCTCAGTTATAAACTGACTCTCAAGTTTATCAGTTGTATTCAATGTACTGTTTTGGTGGTAGGTGGTAGTGCCCATCTAAAACCATTTTTATTAAGGCATTGATTGCATTTTCCCTTCTGATACAGTGCTTATAAAGTCCAATTAGCTTTCGAAAGTCTTTTAAAAAAGATTTTATTTTATGTGTGTGCTTTGCCTGCATTTTATAAGTCCACTCTGTGCATACAACACCTGTATAGTTCAGAAGAGGATGTTGGATCCCCTGGAAGTGGAGTTACAAAACTGATCGTTGTTAGCCACCATGTGGGTGCTGGTAACCAAACCCCGGTCCTCTGTAAGAACATCCAGTGCTCTTAACCATTGAGCCACCTCTCCAGCCCTTGACTTTTGAAGATCTTTGAGTATGTTTTGAATGAGGGAAAAAAGCAATCTAACATTTGTGCACTGGCTCTTATTTTGGAATCTGACAACTGAACAAAGGAAAAGTTTGAAAAGCATTTACAGGAGTTGTATATTCTGATAATTATCTAATATATTGAAATTGATGTTCTTATGGAAGGCTGTAGACTGATATATAAGGCTTTCCTTTGCTTTTAAAAAAAAAATACGTGACTGTTAAGAATTTAATATCTTAGCTAGATGTGGTAACACATACTTGTAATTCTAGTGCTTGGGAAGTGGAGGCAGCAGGATCAGGAGTTCAAGGCCATCCTGAGCAGTATAAGATCTTATCCTCAAAAAAAAAAAAAGAACTTTGTACTTAGTTATTAAAGAGGTAAAGATCTCACTTTACAAGCAGAAAGAGGTGTCCCAATTTGAAAATTACTGATTGTGTATTAAGTGTTTTAAATATATAGATATCAGGTTAGATTAAACTCTAAATTGTGTGCAGACCTATATACAAGGATTTTATTTTTTAAATCTAATGATTTAAAGGACCATAATTATGTCACATATTTGGAAAAGAGATCCTAAGGGTTTTAAGTGAGGTCCAGTCCTAAATCTTTAAAGTACAAGTTGCTCCCTCTATAGAGCCTTCATTTAAGGTACACACACTTACAGTGGTCTTGTGGGTAAAAGGATTTTGTATTCTAAAATCCTCATTCCAGCTGATCATTTTCTGGAGCTTTAGATACAGTAGTTAATGCCCATCCTTACTGAAATGTCTTTGTGCCTCCCTTTCAAGTAGCTGCAGAGTGTTCAGGCTGTTGGTCTAGGGGCGTGCTTGGAGAAGGGTGCTCAAGCTCACAGACCTCTTGCTAGCCTAGAAATTTCTTGACATTCTTAGGGACCATAACTTCAGTTCCTCTGCCTGTTGGGCTTCACTATGATAACGAGACTCTGCAGAGTACAGTGTGAAACAGCAGTTCAATGGCCCCAAGACCTGCTTTAGATTCTGCCGTCAAACGACCTGCTTCCCTTGATAGTAAGAAAATGGCTCAGAAACACAAGATGGGACGAGGAACCTGTAACCCCTTATGCACTGGATAGGTCTCCCCAGAATATTGTGAAAATTTGGTTAAGGAGCAAAAATTACCATTGTTGGTTTTTTTTTTTTTGCACTCAGTTTATGGTTCCTTTTATGCCAAATTGCTCATTCATAGAAAAAAGGAAGAATGCAGATTTATGCATAGTCTTAAAAACAGATATTAATGACTGCCTAGAACCTGAATCTTGTTTTCAAGTTGTTCTGCCAACAGTAAAAGTGGGGATCCCCTCTGACATCATTCTTCATCTCTTTAAATTTTTACTTCCCGTACACCTGTCATAAGATAATTCTTTTTAAAAATATTATATTTTTTTAATGTATATGAGTGTATTACCTGTTTGTATCTAAGTGCACCTATGTCATGCAGTGTCCACAAAGATCCCCTGGAACTGGAGTTAAAGGCAGCTGTTAGCCACCATGTGGTGTTGGGACTCAAACCCCGGTCCTCTACAAGAGCAGCCAGTTCTCTTGGCCGCTAAGCCATCTCTTCAGCCCCAATAAAATACTTCTTTAGTTGATTGATATTTTCAAGTCCAAGGAAAATATGTTCTGAAAGTCCACATAGGCTTAGGGCCCAACAGCAGGGTGATTCTGCCTCTTTCTTGTCAGATGAACAGAGAGGTGCAGCAGAGAGGACACTGAGGAGAACCAGGAGGTCTTCCAGCTCCCTCAGATTATTTTCTGTTTTTTTTTGGTCTTTCTGAAACAGGGTCTCCCTGTAGCCCCAGCTGGCCTGGAACTCACTATGTAGACCAGGCTGGTCTTGAACTCACAGAGATCCGTCTACCTCTGCCTGTCAAGTGCTGGGATTAAAGGCATAGGCCACCATGCCCAGCTCCCATTTTTTTTTTTTTTTTTTTAATGTAGAAATAATAGGTTTTCTAACATTGCAGTTTAGAATAGGACAGAGTTACCTAACCACAGAGCTGGCCAACTGGGAGCCTCCAACTGTCCCCATAAAACTGACAACATGCGAGAACAGAAAACTCATTCTCAAACAGAAACCAGGGATGGGGCTGAGCAGATCCCCAGCCATTCGAGGAAGAGACGGAAAGGAAGTGAGTAGTCAGATGGACGGTGGGTCCCACTCTGCCATCCCTTCACAGCCAAGAACAATCATTGCCCTTGGATGGCTTGAAGCCCCTGTAGAAGCAAGCCTGAGTTGGGGATTATTTGTCATTATCGTGAGGAAGAGTTTGTAACACTTGGTTATTGAGACGCTAATGTTTTTGTTTTTTCTTACAGGAGACAGATTTTGTCTGTTTCGAAGGAGGAAAAGACGATTTTGATAATTATAATATAGAAGAACTTTTAGGGTCTTTGGAACTGTATGATTCTGCACCTGAAGGGTCTGGCAAACCTGAAGAAAATGTTCCTCAGTATGCAGAAAAACATCATGAAGTGTCTAAGGAGACTGAACTTAAACCTGAGCCAGTTAAAGCCGACTCAGGAGAAAGTGCATTTTCAGAAAGTGCTGAGGAACTGCAGGGAGAGTTTTCAGCTCAGAAGAGCCACCCTCATGCCAGTAGTCGAACAGATAGTGTGCAGGGAGCAGAGTCTTCACTGGACACCTTTGAAGAAATGCTGCATGATAAATTAAAAGTGCCAGAAACTGAAAACAAAACCAGCAATAGTTCTCAGGTCCCAAACGAACAGGAAAAGATAGACGCCCATAAACTTCTGAAGACAGACGTGTCTCTAGGCTTGAAAACCAAGTTCGGCTCAACCACTGATGCGCTTGTATCCGACGATGAGTCAACCAGACTGGTCACTTCATTAGAAGATGATTTTGATGAAGAATTGGATGCTGAGTATTATGCAGTGGAGGACGGAGAAGAGGAGAACACAGACAATTTGGATGAGCTGCCATTACTAACCTTCACAGATGGAGAAGATAAGAAAGCTCCTGAGGCGTATGAGGTAGAGAAAGATTCACTAGATAAGGCACTGGACTTAAGTGAAGAGGGGAAGGTTGAACCCACTCTGCCTCCTGGCGTCCAAAGTGATGGTAAAGATAGAGTGACAACCTGGGGGGACACCTTCTTCTCTGTTATCACAGGAGGTGAAGAAAAACCAGGAATGTCAGAGTTAGAGAGTTCTAATTCAGAGGACAAAAAGGAAGAGGAGAATGTATTAGTCCTAGATAACAAAGAGAGGAAGCCACTGTCAGCAACAGATTATGCTAACCATGAAGGTGCAGAAGATTCTAAAGCAAATGATGAAAAAGACTCAGAAATGGACCCAGACCTTCTTCTTAAAGGAAAAGAGAAGGAAATACAGGAATCTAAGAGGGGCCTGGTACAAAATGAGTCAGAATTAGAGAATGGGAAGCCAGAAATGGTGAGCACATATAGTTCTCAAAGTAAGATCAACTCCCTGCCAGCCGCCAAGAAGGGCAAAGAATCAACATTAAAAGAAGTCTTTGAAAAAAAAAACGATCTAAAAGAACCAGTTATTCACATCTCAAAGGAAACACACCATGAAGAAAACACTGCAGAGATTTTGGAAAATGACTTAGAGAGTGACTCAGTACCCAGGGCTGTGGGGAGTCCAGTGACTGAAGAAAAGAGTGAACAAGAATCCTTGGGTGTCGCACCACCCCTAGCAGATAATCAGCCTAACACATCCAAAGACAGTATGGCGGGGACAGATGCTTTGGCCCATGAACCAAAAACAGATAAGCAGGAGAAAATTCGAGAACCAGATCTTAAAACTCAAAATCAACCTAGATTCCCTCCTCCAGAGGAAGCTGGTTTATCAACAGAACTGGAAGAAAAAGCTCCTACCCTGGGAAGAAATCTTCCTTGGCAGCAAGAAAGAGATGCTGCTGCTGTACTTCACAGGCACGAGCAGATGGGGCTTTCTAAGGAAGAGGGCAAAGAGGACTCCGCAAATGCAGAACTCGCTCACCCCAAGGCCATACAGGGGACACAGGAAGCTGGTAACCTGGAAGTGCCCAATGTCCGTACGTTAGACGCAGAGGCAGACGAGGGTGATTACCCCCCTGAGGATCTACTGGAAGATGAAAATGCTCTAAGTGCACAGCAGTCTAGAGAAAACCACCCTGGGGTCCAGGAGAAGAGGTCAGACACGAATCCTCAAGTTTCTGAAAAAGTAATTTTGGGGTCCCTTAATCCTGACAGTGAAGGAAACAAACAGGAAGCTAGTATGATTCTGGAGACTGAAAAAAAGAGTGAGACTGCCCAAGGGGTAGATGGGCAGGACAGAGAGCCAAGCAGGGGGATGGTGGGCCAAGAAGAAAGCCCTCCAGTGGATGCAAGAGCCCAGGGGCCTTTTGAAGTGGGTGGCTTTCCTGAGGAGACAGTAGCTCAGACTCCAGGGTCCAGGGAAGTGGTTCAGGGTAACAACCCTGAGGAACTAGTGAGCACCTCGGGACTTGTAGAGAAGCCTGGAGGAAAGGAAAACTCAGAAGAGGAAGCTGAGGATGCAGAGATGCTCAGGGGCCCAGAAGGCCAGGGGCCCACCTCCCAAGACCTTGAAGGTGACCTGTTCCACCAGACTCCACCTACAATTCCTGACATAGTGCTTAAAAGCATAAGGGAAGACTTGCCCATCATAAGCAGTTTCTTTGAAGACCAGCAGGCCCTGCACAGGTTCCTGAAATACTTCGACGTCCACGAGCTGGAAGCCATGCTGCAAGACATGTCAGTAAGGCTGAAATCAGCACAGAGGGACAGTCTGCCATACAACGTGGAGAAAGTCCTAGATAAGGTCTTCCGTTCCTCTGAGTCACGGATTCTAAGTGTAGCAGAGAGAATGCTTGATACTCAAGTGACCAAAAATAGAGATCTGGGAATAAAAGAGAGTAATGTGTTGGAAGAGGCCGCTGTGCTGGATGACATCCAAGACCTGATCTATTTTGTCAGGTACCAACACCCTGGAGTAGAGACTGCCCCACTCATCACACCCCCACCTCTGGAGGAAGACTGGGCTGGACCAGCAGAAGGTATAGTACCTGCCCATGACCTTGTGGGGTTGGGTTGGAAAAGCAGGGGATGGGGGTAAGGGTGGGTTGGAAGGTGTTTACCAAAGTGCTTTGTATATATTTGTAAACTTCTAGTCACAACTGCCATGTGTCTGAAGGCGAGAGCCAACACATCTACCCACATGGCCTGCCTTTCCATCTGTCTATCAGGCTGAGCATGAAGGGAGATATTTTTACTCAGTTTGGTTTTGAGACAGGGTCTCCCTGTGGCCCCAGCTAATCTGGAACTTCCTATTTAGACCAAGCTGGCCTCAATCTGACAGAGATTCACCTGCCTCTGCCTCCCAAGAGCTAGGATTAAAGGCATGCGCCACCATACCAATTGTTTGTTTGTTTTATAGAGAATGGTTTGCATTTTCAAAAGGAAACTTAATAAAAACCTTAAGAGAAAGATATGACCAAGAAAATAATGCACCATGTAACAAGGTACAGATTTCATGTAAAATTACCAAAGTGATTTTATTGAACACAATTTCTTTTTTAAAATAATTTTTTAAGTGGCATACATTGAACATGGTACTGACTTTCGTGAGAACATTCTCATACAAGTATATGCTTCAAGCATGTCCTTCCTTACGGCGCCGCCCTCCCGAGCATGCCTTCCCTGCTTCCCTTTTTGTTCCCCTAGGTGGTTAAGCGTCTACTTTCATAGCATGTATGCATACATGATTTCCTGTGTAAATGCTAGGATCCACAAATGAAAGAAAACATACGATATTTGTCTTTCTGAGACTGACTTAATTCGATTAATAGGATTATCTTCAGTCCATTTTCCTGCAAAATGACATTACTGTTCTTTATGGCTAAAAAATTCCACTGTGTGTATAAACCACGTTTTCTTTATTCTTTCCTGTGTCGATGGACACCTAGGTTGGTTCTGTAGCTTAGCTACTGTGATGTGCAAGTGTCTCTGTGACATGTTGATCTAGAGTCCATCGGCTAAATACCCATGAGTGGTATGGCAGGTCCTAAGGTAGATTTACTTTTAGTTTTCTGAAGAACCTCTGTACTGATTTCCATAGTGGCTGGACTAACTTAGATTCCCGCCATCAGTATATAAAGACTGTCTTTGTCCACATCCTCACCAGCGCTTGCTACTTCTTTTCTAAGCTGGGCGTGGTGGCACACACTTGTAGTCCCAGCACTTGGTTTCTCCCATTTCATTGCTTCACTTGATTCTTTCCTTTGCTGAGCAGAAGGGTTTTAGTTTTTTGAAATCCCATTTGTCACTTGTTGGCATTATTTCCCAAGTGACTAGAGTCCTTCTCAGAAAATCCTTCTCTATGCCTATATCTTGAAGTGAACACAATTTCCTAATAATAACTGCTGTCTAACCAAGGAGTGACCAGTGTAATTATTTATTTATTTATTTTTTTTTGGCGGGGGGGGGGTTTTTGAGACAGCGTCTCCCTGTAGCCCTAGCTGGCCTGGAACTCACTATGTAGACCAGGCTAGCCTTGAACTCACAGAGATCCTCCTGCCTCTGCCTCCCAAATGCTGGGATTAAAGGCGTGCACCACCACGCCCGGCTCAATGTAACTTTAAATGGATGCCTATGTGAGTTCTTTCATTCTTCCAGATTTTCCTGTTTTGGGGGTGTCATGCTGTTTGCAGCTTCTTGGGTACAGTCACTCCAGTTACGCTTCACTGGGCCCTGCTCTAGTGTTCTTGCATTTAGATTAATCGAGGATGGAACGGGGTGAGGGACTTGCTGACAGCACAGGACAGTAGCCATCACTGTTTGTTAATTGTCCCTGGCCAGTCCCTGATAGAAGCTTCTGTTTCCTTTGCAAACTGAAGTAGTTGAAACTGAAAATATATGGTAGAGGGCATAAAGTTAGAGCTAAAGCTCTCTCTAGAGTGCTAATTTTCCTGAGAATTGGAGAAGAGGAATATATATTATATATTATCATATATAATATATGAATTCTTATTTTATGTGTATGAGTGTTTGCTGCATGTATGTAAGTGCACCACATGTGTGTGATGCCCAGAGAGGTCAGAAGAAGGAGTCAGATTCCTTGGAGCTGAAGTTACAGGGAGTTGTTAGCTGCCACAGAATCTGGGTCCTCTGTGAGAACAGTCAATGCTCTTAACCACTGAGCTATTTCTCTAGCCCCTAAGAATATATATTTTCGGGGGGCTGGAGAGATGGCTCAGTGGTTAAGAACACTGGTTGTTCTTGCAGAAGACATGGGTTCGAATCCCAGCACCCACATGGCAGCTAACAACTGTCTGTAACTCCAGTTCTAGGGGATCTGACAGCCTCTTCTGACCTCCATGGGCATTGCACAACATGGGTGCACTTAACCTACATGCAGGCAGTACACGCATACACATAAAATAAAAATATAAATAAAATTTTTTTTAAAAGATCAAAGAATATACTTTTTCTACATTAAAAATATTTTTAATGAGTTTTTGTTCATTTCATATAATAG